TCAACAGATATGCGGCTCGGTGCACCTGCATCAGGCGCACATTCGGCTCAAGCAACAGCCGGGTGAACTCTTGCACCACACCTTTCAAGCTGTCAACATTGTTGGCACGCACGGCCGTGCGCGCCATTTCCACCAGTCCCTTCATGTGATCGACCTCGGCGGGTTCAAGGTACCCCCTAGCCTGAATGTCTGCATCCAGGCGGGATATGCTTTCCAGGACCCCGTCAAGCTCCTTGCTGAAGCTGCAATATGCGGTGAGCTTTGAAGCAGCAGCACGCCGAGCTGCAACCCGTGCACACTCAGATGCAGCTAGGGAAGTGGCATCCGTGCTGCCGCTTGCATCGGTGACAGCATGCACAGCGTCATCAATACAGGCGACCACACCCAGGCATGTGTCATCTGCCTGCTTGAACCGTGACAACACAGAGTAGGCAGCCGAGCTAAAGTGGTCTAGAATGCCCTCGGCTTCACCTATTCCCGAGTAACCCCGCACATCAATAGTGCGCAGTAGTCGAAAGGCCACTATCATGGCGACCGTCAGTGTGCTGGCTTCCTTCCAACACTCGCCTCTGAGGAGCAAAAGAGCGCACCAGACGACTGCAAGGATCACTGCTGCGGTGCTAATCCCTGCAATTACGATTGTGAATGCAGAAAGGCAAGCGCCCGTTGCGACTTGGACTCCATGTTGGAGCCTTGAACCAGCAAATGCTTTTTGCAAACCAGACGTCACCAGCCTAGATACTGTATGTGCCTGTGTGTGCGCCACCAGACAGCGAATCATCATTGCCAACCCAGAAGATGTGAATGGGTACAGCATCTGCAGCATGGGCCCCACCACATTTGTGATTTCTTCTGCTGCAACACTATCTGTTGCACCGCCTACAGCACGATACCTGCCCTGCTGCCCATTGAGAATGACACGCTCGAGTGCGTTTAGCTCATCAGGCTGCATGGCTGCCAGTGCACCATGTATCCATGAGGTGCCATCCACACCACCCCCGCCCTGCATGGTGGCTTTTGCCTGCTCCTCGGCCAGGTGTTGAACTGCTTTGTGTTCAATAGCCCCTTCTTGTGTGGCTTTGAGGACAGAGTGGCGCAGCAAGCCATACAGCGGTTGGTAGAACCATTTGTTTACGACCGCAGTCCAGCGACCCCACAGATATCCCGCTGTGATGGGGGCAGCAGCTGCAAAAAGGGGTAGGAATTTGTCTAGTGGCATCGGTACACTGAAGCGTCTCAGAAGCGTTCTGCCAACGAGACCAAGTCCAAACAAGACAACCAGCAGAGCCACTAAGATGGGGTATATGACGACCTGGGCGGTTGGCTTCACCGCCATCAATAGAGTCACCAGCACAAACACGACAGTTGATATGACCCCAAACCCAGCAATGCATATGGGTGGCAACGGCATTGAAGGGGTGACAGTAACATAATCAAACAGCTTCAGGCCAGCTATCACAAGGATGCACATGCCAAACAATGTAGCAGCCAGCAGAAGTGGCCTATGTTGCAGTCTACAACAGTGTTCCTGAGGCTGCCACGGTTTCATCTCATCATCCAGGTCATCCCCGACCCAGATCAAGACACCAACCAGCAGCACAAGTGCCCAGATGTACAGATACATCCGCAATGCGGTCTTTGTGGCCCTATCATCTTCCTGTGTGTATAGGATGACAAACAGTACAGCAGGCACAGCAATGCTGGCCGTGAGCTTGCCGGCGACTGCTGCTGTTTCACCTTGACGATCGGTCATCCAGGTAGGAGTTATGATTAAATAGGACACCAGAAAAAAGGGAGTCACATTTCCCCACACTCTTCTTTACACCCAATCTTACTCGGCCTATTGTGGTACGCATATTCACGCATCAGCCTCTGTTCCAACTACCCATCAAGAGAACACACGTGCTCATCACACATTCTTAAAGCTCATTGTGACACCATCATCACACGCAGGCACATCATATGTTGCCAGGCGCATCTGCATGTTGTTATCAAGCAGGCAATCACTGACATTGTTGCCAAATATGCAAACATTGATTTCGGTGATCTTGTTCAGGGTGGGTGGAGTAGAAAAGAAGGCATGCTTGCGGGTGATGGTTACGGCTGTTTGTGTGCGGTTCTTGTATGTGTACCAAAAGTAATGGGCCTCACAGCCTAAAATTGGCTCTTCATGGCTTGACATGGTCACCCTGTATGGTGATGTACCACCTCTCGGCCCATCATCTGACAACTGCACAGCACCACATGTGCTCGATTGTGCAGATGCAACCATGATCTTGTGCACGCGATCCTGCGCCCCTGAACATGTCTCATCACATCCACAGTCGGCCTTGGAAATTACAAAGCAGATTGTGTCTGCTGCCTGTACTGTTGGATGGTAGGTGTATGGTGTTGTGTACCTGATGTGACAAGCAAGTGGGAACACATGTGTCATGCGCTTTATTGACAGTGGTGGTGGTGGTCGGGATGAAATGTAAGGTGATGGAGGCAATGGCAGATGCAATGGGGGTGATCGTGATGAGGTGGTAGGTGATGGAGGCAATGGCAAATGCGATGGTGGTGGTGGTGATGGTGATCGGGATGAGGTGGTGGGTGATGGACGTGACAAGATGATTGGTGATGGGGGCATTAGTGGCGGTGGCATTTGTGGAGGAAGGACATTCTTGGTAAAAGCGCCCATGATATTGCACACCGGCTGAGTGTGAAATACGACATATGATGCAGTCCCTGTTGTAGCTACTGCCATGCCTATTTGTGTGCTTCCCCTCCACACAAGACATGTAAAGTGCCCCGTGACACTTGAAAACCCTGGGCTGGACCAGTTATAATAGTGGACTTCATTGTACCACATGTCAACTGCTTGTTGCATAATTCTGTCTTGCCCACTGCTTGACCCCACAATGTATGCCAGGTTTTCACCAACGGTTCTTGAGCCACTGTGCTGCAGTGCATTGATGGCGGTGAGGTAAACCGCCCATGCACGAGCAGATGTTTCAAGTAAGCTGCTCCATGTGACTGGGGGTGCTTGGTGACGGGCTCGCAATGAGTTAACATACCCTGTAATGTCTGACTGCACATAGTTGCTACCACTCAAGATGAATCCCAGTAGCAACAGTCGCAGTGGTACAGAAATTATCCTCGGTTTGGAATACAGCATCCGTGTATTGACTATGAGTTTTTGTATGCATATCATTTTTTTACAACACTCATGAGCGCCTCGCACACACATGAAAGCCTCTGGTGGAGTTCACAGTGTCTTGAAAAAGCCATCCAATTACTCATCGAACTGGGCATTTATTCAAGAGTAGAATGTATGAATTGCATAAAACGCTGATATCTACCGTAGGCTCACCAGCCCATGGTGTGGAGATGCTGGACGCGGAGCTGCACCAACCACTCGAGCAAGTTGCCAGCCGGTATGGGAAAGTGGGGGATGTCCTCATCCGGGTGATAGCGCTGCACCTTGTTGTAAAAAAACATCAGCAGCTCTCTCAGTGTCTCTTTATTGTCTTTCTCCCAGCCGTACCAGTTGAACAGGTGCGCGCGTGCACGTGCTTGGTGGTACTCGGATATGGTCTTGAAACCATGGCGCTGTACGACTTCGGTGAGCGCTGCCTCGGAGGAGGCGATGTGCTTGCCTGCCACGAACACCTCGCAGTCCACCTCATCTACACACTCGAACTCATTCATGGACAGCCCGAAGGATTCCATCGTCAACCCTGGACCACCCATCACTTCTCTCACTGGACGCAGCATGTCGGCCGCCGTGTACAGAAAGTTTGCGAGCCGGACCTCCATGCCCGGTTGATTTGGCTGATCCGGCTGATCCGGCTGGTCCGGCTGGTCCGGCTGCTTGTCTGTCTGTCGGGCTAATTCATCTGATCCCGGCCGGTCTAGTTGATCTGGAAGTGCTGCTGCCTGTGCTTGCGTCATCATCACACACATCCAAACACACACATATGTTAGACATTCGTTTGGCGTGGCTCATCTTTATGCAGTTTGCTTGTGACTATTAGAACCGTGCCATGAATCATTGTGGCCTCAAAGGTCGTGTGCTGTAATCACAGTTGTCCTGTATGCGCTTGTCAAGTGCAAACAGGGGGGCATCAGTTGGAGTTTGAATCGATGTGCCAAACATTTTGGCTTGTTGTGCCAGATCTGCTACCAGGCAGTATACGCGAATCAAGCCACAGCTGGCCATGCTGCTGAGCTCTGCATCCAGCTGCTGATCAATCAGACGCCCAGACAGATGGTGAGTCAGTTTCTGGGCACCTTGTCTGGACACGATGTAGGCGTGCAGATTCCAAAAGTCGGTCAAATCATAGAACATTGGCTCTATGCATCCATCTTTGCTTTCACGACACACACAGGACAGCAGCAACATATCCCAGTCAGCAGGCACATATTTGAGGCTATCAGTCAATAGTGACAGCAAGTCTGTCTGTGGCACTGCATCATCCTCAAATATCAGGGTGTATGGCTTGTCACTTGTGGCAGCCATCTCAAATGCCCTTTCATGACTCAAGTAACACCCTATGGCCCCTGGTGTAAGTTCCCTGTGTGTTGCACGTTGGCCACCTCTGGCCATGGCGTGGCGCATCTCATCCATCACTGATGGAGACACATAGCCATCCAGCTCCAGTTTGTTGCCATCCACTGCATCAATGCGTCTGGGTATAGGGACCACCCGAGAGATATCAGACCTTTGGTATGCACTCATAAAGTTTTTGAACCGCTCATGTTCGTGTGCCAAATTGATGACATACACATCAAGTGCGCCCATGAAACTTGTGTTGTTGTCACTAACAAATCTGTCGTGTGTGATGTTGATTGATCTAGGACACGGGTGTGACTCTGTATACACTAACATGATACCTGCTACCAGACCCACTAATATCACCAAAGTCGGGCTCCATGGATACATGTTTGTTACTCTCTGATGAGTAATTTATTACTGGGGTACAAAAACAGGGTTAAGGCTAATGCATGATTTGATTATTGCTTGTGTAGCTCAGCAGGTTAGAGCGGAGGTCTTATGAGCCTCAGGTCCTGGGTTCAATCCCCAGCACAAGCATGATCTAACTTTTGCGTGTAAAAGTGGTCACATGGCAGTCGTTGCACTTGTGCAGCCGATCGAGAACTTCTATATAAAATGCCTTAATTCATCATGCACATATCATATGTCCGAAAATAACTCTTCACATGCAAAGTGTTGGCCAGTTGGTGTTGCTGGATTTCAGCTTGCATAAGCCTTCTTCGGCCGCAAGGCCACAAACATGAAAAACATCTCAATAGATACATTGGTGATCACGGATTCTTCCATTTTCTTCTATGCCAAAAACCAAACAAAACGGGGGCCTCGCATGCACCATTTGGTCTAACGGGTTGATACACAGTTAAGGCTCAGACAAATCAAAAATATATAGTATGCAGATGTCCAAAAAACCAGTCCCCCAGAGACTTAATGAGATGAAAAAAGTGTACAAATGCCTCGAAGACATTGGGCTGATCAACAGTGATGATCCAGGCATTGTACAACTAAAACAACTGTGCTGTGAGTATGTGAAGGATGGTAAGCGATCTTCAGGAAGCATTTATTTGCAAAAGCCACTCGACACTGGGCATCATCGTATCGACTATTCACTCAAGCCAAATTATCTTTCAGGTGAAAGTGTAGTAGTTTTACGCACCCAACGAAGAACCAGGGTCTAGAACAAATGCAAACAACAGAAGGACACCCGATGGACTGTGGTCTATGGCCTCTCTCCCTTGATCAACTTCAAATTCAAAATCCGAAATGCAATTGCAGCAGACAAAAATATGCCCGTGAAGGTTAAACACTTGACCAGCAACCCTTTTTTGTGTGGTTTTTTTGTCACACTTGGTGATTTCATCACAGCTGGTGATTTCTGACCTGCTTCTTCTTTATCAACCTGCAGATGACAGTGGCGCTTACATGAACCACTAATGCCTGATGCGCCATCATACAACCGCTTACGTGGGTTTTTGAGTGCTGGCGTGCATTCTTCAAAGCCATATGGAAGGTGGAGCTGCACGTTGTTGCATGGTGGAAGAGGGAAGTTTATTGGGGATGAAAGACGAGTATATTTGGGTGATGGAAGAGGGGTTTCCATGGGGGATAGAAAAGGTGAATTGTTGAGTGACGGAAGAGGCGTGTTGTTGGGCGATGGATGGGGCGTGTTGTTGGGTGTTGGAAGAGGTGTACTGTTGGGTGTTGGAAGAGGTGTACTGTTGGGCGACGGAGGGAGCCATGTCCGATTGGGAGTATCAATAGGAGATGTGTTCTTGTTGGCCATATTTGACAGGAGAGTTCGGGTACATATTTTCAAGACAGTCATGATATCTTCGGCTTTGTGTTCATCAATTGCCAAACACACCTCCTTGATAGTATTTTCCATATTGGGATCCAGCAGCACATTTACATCATCAGGGTATTGCAGATGCTTTGCCTGAGTTATCACACATTGTAGTGCTTCATTGCACTGATGCAGCAAATATGAATCGTCATCGCAAATATGAATCGCCTCGATGATGGCAAGCAGTTCATGTAGCTTGGTTGACATGATGTTCCTTAGTGCCTGGGAAGGGAGTGCCTAAAGGATCTGAGGAGATTACTGTTTCAGTTGCTTTATACCATTCAACATCCATTTTTTAAGGGTATGATACACAAATCACTTGCAGCAGCACAGAGGTGTCAGGTTCCCCGCCACCTCTCACACTCACACTTCATGTCACACGTGATGCAAGAGAAGCAAATACATACGATGCATGGGTCGCTCCGCATCACAGAGACGGCGTCCATATGTGATATTCATCATAGTGTTGAACAACTGCGTGCTGAAGGTGCGCAGAAAGTGTTGGTGCTTTGTGATATTGACAACACGGTACTCCGCATGGCGGGCTCCTGCATGCTAGGGAGCGACCAGTGGTTCCGATGGCAGTTGGGCTTGATACACGCTTTCAGCCCACAAAAATGCTTGGGACACCACCCCTGCCAGGTAGCACACACCTTGCAGGAGTTGCAAAACATCACAGAGTTGCTGTATAGGACAGAACCGGCCAAGCCATGTGAGGATGACACTGTGTCGGTTTTGAATGCTGTTGGTGCTATGGCAGACATTATGTTCTTGACTGCAAGGTGTAATGACATGCAAGGCATTACACGGGTGCAGTTAAGGGAGGTGTTGGATGGCTTTCCAGCAGACGCCCATCTTCTGGTCACTTGTAATGGCCAGAAGAAATCCGTAGTGATGACCCCATACTTGCATGGTTATGATGCTGTTGTATTTATTGACGACACACTGCACCACATTGATGACTTTGTGTCTGCATGCAGATCTGGGCGGCTGATGGGGCCCGCCAAGTTTGTGGCAATCTGGTATGTGCACGAGCAAGCTCACGTGCAAGAGTTTCAATTGATGGATAAACACACAGTGGCATGTGCATTCAATGAATGGCTTCAAACCCGAGCGGGATGCAGGGTTTCATCACATGTGCATGGTGCTCAACATGAAGGCAGTAGCTATTAAACCAAAGCACAGCAGCTCACGCCACCATACAACAGGAACATGCAGCACTAGAGTGTTCAGGATCCACAGGTTCAGAAAATAGAAACAGAGTGTAATGAGCAAAACCTGCAATGGGTTCAGACCCAGATCCCTCACAGCAGCATGGTTGCCACGAAGGCTGAACTGGTACTCCAGGAAAACCAACGGCATGGCAATGCAAAGTGCACGGACGAATGTCCACTGATCTCCAAGCTTGAGGTGCAGATATGCGGCTACTGTGTAACACCAAGTGCCCAGATATATGAGCAAGAATGTGACTGCCGCTGTCATCCCATGCAACACACATTGAGAATGGGCATTTTTTTTGAGGATGCCAGTCTGAACGCCACTTTGCAGTGAGACTTTGGCTACACTTGGCTACACAAAGTTGATGTCTGGGCCCTTACGAAACAAGAATGTGACCTCCCTGGTGGTGGCAAGTTGGAATTGATTGGGTGTCGGGCCCACCAGAAAGATGACAGTCCCTGAGAGGCTCCTCCTCTTGTACTTTTTGTTGTTTACCAACATTGATGGTGAAACAAAGAAGACACTGTGAGCGCTCGACCAGTTTACGCATCCAGGCTGTCTGGTACCTTGTCATGACCACAAGTGCTGTAAATGCATTTGGTGTCTGGTCATGATGAGCCCACACCACATCCAGCACAGCTTCCGTGTCAGCTTGTATCATGATCAGGTTGTTCATGCCCAGTGAGTGTGGTGTAGCAAGCTGCCTTGCGTTTGTTACATGGTGCCCCACACCCTCACTCCGCAGCAGCTCGGTCAGCTTCCCAGTATCGCTGTCGGGGTGTGTTGGTAATTGCCGCAGATCGATCATCCCCGCGTGTAAGGTGCGATAATGATACTTTTCTGTGGGTAAGGGCTGAGTGCCCCGTGCGGGCTGCCCATACACTGCCAGCATAATGGGCAACGGAAACATGCGCTGATAGCCAACAAAGCGCACATTTGTGGCCAATATGAGCAACTGGTGAACACATGGAAACATTTCCTCCAAAAAGTATACAGTGCGTGCAGGGAGTAAAAGGACCGCGCAGTGGCCAAAGTACTGCTCTGATTGTGCTTTGGCCATCCACTGACGGACATGAGTGAATGGAGGATTCACATAGTTGTGATGCTTCCAGGCCCGCTGCAGGCCGTCAACCTGGTAATTCTTAGGACATGGGTCAAACACATGCCTCCATTGGTGCACACCGAGAATGTCCCGTACCAGGTCTTTAATAGATTGTGGTGTGGTGGCCGTTTGGTCATCTCGGGCGATGCTGATCAAGAAGAACCTTTGGGGGCTTGTGATATTTGGTAGGGCCATGACTGGTCGTTTTCTCTAGCATGGCCATTGTCAGTCATGCTGCTTGCAGGTATCTAAATTTGTGCTTTTTGCGCGTGCCTGTCAGTGATTTGTCACACATTGTCAATCAAAAGAAAAATCTGTTGTATTCTAATAATCACAGCTTCCATGCCTGACAACCCGTGGAACACATTCCTCAGGGAAAACAAAGACCTGTATCCTAATGTTCCTTGGGCAAAGAGGCTGGGATTACTGCAGAAGGATTACAAGCATTTGAAGGATCGTACACAATCTCGCTCTGATCAGCCACGGCCGTCTCGTTCTGATCAGTCAAGGCCGTCTCGCTCTGATCAGTCAAGGCCGTCTCGCTCTGATCAGTCAAGGCCATCTCGTTCTGATCAGTCAAGGCCATCTCGTTCTGATCAGTCAAGGCCGTCTCGCTCTGATCAGCAAAGGCCTTCACGTTCTGATCAGTCAAGGCCATCTCGTTCTGATCAGTCAAAGCCATCTCGTTCTGATCAGTCAAGGCCTTTACGTTCTGATCAGTCAAGGCCATCTCGCCCAGAGCCTAAAAAATATCGTGCAAAGCCTAAGCCATTTTCACCAGAGGATGATCCCATGAACATATCACCACCACAGGATGATCACATGATCATGGGATCCCCTCTGGAAGATCCCATGCACAGTCGTATACGAGTCAAGGTGAAAAGGCACAATGATCAAGAGGCTCGCCGCTTAATGCAGCTCCTTGAAGATGAGAAGCGCAGGTATGATATCGAAATATCACAACTTCAGGCTGAAAAGACCAGATGCGAGCTGGAGTTATCCAATCTGCTGAACATGAATCGAACAAACGATGATGATGCACTGCATGCAGCTTTTGCAAATGCAAAACAAGCCAAAGAAGATCTTGAAAAATGTCACATCGAAAGACTTCAGGTACTTGGACAGCTGCAAGCAGCACAACAGGCACATGAACAGTGCACTGTTGCGTTTAACCAGCAGCGTGAAACTTGGGAAAGGAAACTAGCAGAATTGACACAGAGCAGCGCAGCATGTGTACAGGAATTGCAGTTTAGAAACGAACAGATCGAAAACATGATACAAGAAAGAGATGCCCTGACAGAGGAAAAGTATGTTTTACAACAAGAGAATGAGCTTTTAAAGATGAAATTGGCTTCTCGACAACAGCGATCTGCTGGT